TGCATATTTGTTTCCTTTTCAGGGAGAGGAGTGAGGTTATACTACATTGGTGGTGAAGTATTTGCAGAATGTTTAAGTGACAATGCTGTTTTTGTACAAAGTCCAAACTGTAACCAACGCTATGGGTGGCATCCTGCAACTGTATGTAAGATACCACCAGGTACTCAATTTCATACATTACTTTTTCTATTGTAGGAATGTTCTCATAACTTATATAGCTAATATGCAAAATCTAAAAAAAAAAAATGATAGCCAGTATGCAAATATGAATTTATCCTGTCATGTTTCATATCCTTTTTTTAAGTTAGCTTGCAAGTGTACACAGAGGTCTTGCTAAGACATCCTATTGGGGTAAAAAAATAAACAGAAAAGGTGAGGTGAAGGAAGATATTATGCCCAGATCTATATATGTCGATTGCTTCTTGATAGCAATTAGCCTAATAACTGAAGAAAACTCGAGCAACTAGATTTATTATGATCTAGATGTCTAAATCTGGCTCTATTAAATCTATAAGGGTTGCTTTCTAAATACCCCTGCATGACATGATAATCTTTAAGTTTTTTTTTTCTAAATACAATTTATTTATACATATTTGTTTTTAGAAATCCATTCTAAATTTCTATAAAACTCACCCACTTCTTATTAAAATTGTGCATTCTCTAAACCCCCCCCCCCCCCCCCCCCCCCCCCACATTGATATATGTGTATGTATGTTTTAAAAGTTGTATATATATATATATATATATATATATATATATATATTAGAGAGAAAGTACTGACAAATAAATCCATTAATAATGTATATATTTGTTTAAAATGTGTGAATGAAAGGAAGCTTAGAACTTTCAAGAAGGAAGTAACAAGGTCCTCATGTGTATTACCTCAATGATTCAGTATTTGTATCTCATCCAGTTATTTCTTGTTTGTTTAAAAATAAATAGAAATTTGTGTTTGTTTTATCTCCTCAGGCTGCAATTTGAAAATATTCAACAATCAGGAATTTGCTGCTCTTTTGGCTCAGTCTGTTAACCAAGGCTTTGAGTCAGTTTACCAGCTGACACGAATGTGTACTATCAGGATGAGTTTTGTCAAAGGCTGGGGAGCTGAGTATAGGTAAATATTACTGTACCCCATGTTTGCTTAGGAAGCTAGAAATGTCATGAAAGTGTAAATGGTTTATTTGGATGGAAAAAAAAAAATTTATTAGAGACATTCTTTAAAGGATAAAATTGAAAAAAAAAATCTAAAATTCATAATAAAAAAAAAAAAGCATTTGCGTTTTCCTTTAGCTAACATAAAGCATAATGAGCCCAATAAATGGTAAGAACACTTCTTTTAATATTGGTTTCTTTGGACTTTCTCTTTTTACTATTAACTAAGCCCATAAATGGTTATTAGTAGGCCAAATATACTTTTTCTTTCAGGAAGCCAAAATAATTTCATAATTTCTCCTTCGATAAATGAAGAACTAAAGTGAATATACTTTATAGACACAAACATTTTGAAATGAATCACCTTCTTTGACAGTTCCTTAATTGAAGCTGAAAAAACACAAGCTGTACAGCTAAAGCATTAGCACTTACCTACAAACTCTTTTAATTCGACACATAACATTTGATATTGTAGCAAGCAGCTTTTCTTTTTGGTCAGCTTGGTATTGATGTTTGAAAGAGTAGTTTAAGCCTTTCTAAAGACGATCACATCAACCCTTTGCCCACCCATCTTTCTACAATGTTTCTAAACTAATGTGTATTTTGCAGGCGGCAGACAGTGACAAGTACACCAAGTTGGATTGAAATTCATTTAAATGGTCCCCTGCAGTGGCTAGACAGAGTACTGACTCAAATGGGATCCCCTGGACTGCCCTGTTCATCAATGTCATAAAGACTTCTCTTTGTTGACTCCATATGTCAGTATTGATATGCAGGGATTGTGCTGCGCAGAGACAGACTCACAAATCGGCCAGCATGTTATTCTTCTAGAATGTATAAAGGCAAAACATTTCAATTTCCTTGTAGATTGTGTTTTTTTTTTAATGTTTTTTTTTTTTAAAAGGAATAAATGTTTTGGTTCAATGTTACAGCTGTGCAAGCATGTATTTTTATTCATTACAGTTTAAGTTAATGATTTTAAACAGGTTTTTGAAAAAATGTGTTTACTTTATTTCATTGCTCTGAACATATATTGCTGAAATTATTATGTTTCAAACTATTGGATTGCACCATAAAGACTGGATTTTCATGTTAACATTGGTACAAGAATTGTATTCTTATTTTGTAGAAATGTATTCATTTCAAAAGCGATAGAATTTCAAACATGTTTTAGTCAATTGTAGCTTCATTTTAAACAAGTTTGAGTTCTTTTTTTATTTTAGGGATATAAAAGTATTATGGAGATATCAATATTACATCAATTGTAACACATTTCATGGCTGTATAGAAAACAAAACAAAACACCCTTGTAAATGAGCAAATATGCATCCTGTAAATGTATGTCCTATTTCCCTGTAAATTAGCACTTAAATTTTTTTTAAAACTGTCCCTGGTTAGCTGCACTTAATTTTTGCTTACGATAAATGTCTTTAATATCTAACAGACTAGATGAAGACAAGTTTTGGTTTTAATAACCTATTTCAGTGAGAGTCTGTATACAAGGCAAGGAACAATCTTTTGAACATTTAAAGCAGATCATTAGCAATGTAGTCAAAGAATTTTAGTTTCAGAAATAGGAAAATTGTGTTCCTTGTTAAAATACCTCAGTTTGCATTGAATGATTTGTTGAGTATTTGTACAACACATTTTCTTTGTAACTCTAGTGGCATTTTGAAAGCTCTTGGAAATAATAACCATAGGAGTTGTCAATTTAGGTAATTGAATTATGTGTGTGAAGTTAATTTGTACTTCCAATTTAATATTAGATATTGTTATTATAATAGGTCTTTACACATGAGACTGTTAATATAGTAAAATTATACATTTTAATAGATAAGTTATTTCTGTACAGGACTTGTATATGTTGCTCTCATTTGATTACACATAATAGTCATTCTTTGGTTATAATATTTGTGTGATGGCAAAATCCTTTTATTAAACCATTTAGTACATGTTCAACACTATGGCATTGTGGCTCTTGTCACCACAGCTGATACAAAATATTTCTTTTTAATGTATAAACTTTTGAGTTAACGATACCTAAATTCTTTGTTATTACATTTTTAAAGCAGTAACTTGTTTGAATTTTCTTATTCATATTTGTTTTTAATGCCCCTGCAGATTTGCTATAATTTTATTGAGTAGCCACTGTCTGAGTTCAGTGTTAACTTGTATATGTCTAACCTCATCAGCATGTAAGTGTAGTGTACATTCAAAGCGTTGATATCATTTGTTGAAAAGAATTATACCAGTGAACAAAAAAGTTTTTTTTTCGCTACTTAAAAAACTTGTCGGGTAAACATTTGTTGTTTGTGTATTTTTTGTATTGGACTTTCTTGAAACCAGACTTTGTGTCCACTGTGATAGCTCTATGTAACCGGTTTATAAAACAAAATGTTTGTATATTATTCATCTTTTCAAGTTTTATTATTAGAAATGAAGCAAACATTTTTCTACTGGGAATGTAAAAACACTTATTGGGCAAATTGTAGCTGATTTTCATCCTCTTTTTTCACTCCACCAATCATTTGACAACCTACATTTAAGTACTAGCTCCAGGTATGTGTTTGAAGTTAGAGTCTTCTTGCTGCAATCACATAATTGTTACTTGTACTTCATTAGGCCAACTCAACACATTTGCTGCATGCTACACTATTAGGTCTATCATCCTGACACATCATCATCTGGTTGTTTGCTATTGTATGGGCAATTTTTCTTATACACACCCAAAACATTATGGGTGTGCAAATGTAGTTTTAGATAGAAATCTTTAGGGTTGATATCACTATATTAATATTATTATTTGTTACTAAGAAAGAAATTGTTTTATCTGAGTCAATACTTTTGTTTATTCAGTCTTAAAACAATAAGATGATGAACTAATGTAGATTTGTAAAAACAAAGCTTTTGTGTTGCATTTATTAAAGATTTTGTTAGTATCTTAGTGATCCAATAGTATTTGAGCAATAGTTCATCAATAGCCAAGTCATTTCAATAAAAGTAAAAGAAGTTCAATGCATACAATAGATATATTTAATAATAATCCATTTAATTGCTTTTTTAAAAATTTTAACTAAAATAGCTGAAGATTGATTTGTATGAATGGAACGGTTTTTTTTTAATGGTACCCTGCAATATCTTGACTGAACAGTTTATTCAATAGAATGAAAATTATGAATATTTGTATTTTATGAACCAAGTTACAAGTGTGAGCTGATCACCAAACTATTTGAAGTGCTAGACATGACTTTCATATTGCTTTATTGGAAGCTAACATCAGCATAGTACTTGTTTTCATGACAAACACATTTGAATTTAGAATTATTATTCTATGGTAGGGCACATAACATTTGTATCTGCACTGCTGCTGAAAAGCTATTGAAAACAAGTTCATTCTAATATTTATTTTTATCATGTTTAAATAGTTGCAAATGACAATATAAGTGTGTGTTTTATGTTGACAAATTAACTGAGACTGTCCCTTTCTTCTGTATTTTTTCTTTACTAGTTTTTTAAAATCTTGATCAGAACAGTGCAATTATTGTGTCAATTAGACCTGAGCAAGTGATTGTAATGATTAGCCATTTTACAACCTTAATTGCAGAATTTAATGTCTACTTAATTTATTCATGTTAACCAGAAAGTTTTGGTGATATTGATGGTTGGCCTCTTGTCTCATTGCTCAGATTTGAAGAGTGCATAGGGTAGTTCCTAACCAAACGTGAACCATTTTCTTGACGCTAAGCTAATGGAAAAACCATTCACACATTTTAGGTTGAATGTAGTAGTAATTGAATCTCTTATTTCAATCCATCATGTGTAAAAATGATAGAAGAATTCTTTATTTTTAAAGGGATGTGATTATTTCTCTAGTAATGTGTCATGATTATTTGTATAAAGTTATCTTCTAAGCTCTAATATGTGTTCCACAAGTTATTGTCATCAGTTTTCTAATGAGACATAAGGATCTAGCCCATACTACTGCTGTTCTGATTGGGCAATGTTACTATGTAAGACAGAAAAGCAGTGCAATCAGGTAAAGATAAGGCAGAGCACTATAAATACAAAACATTTTTGTATATACTAGTCAAGCCTAGTAACAAGTCTGAATGTTTTGTCTTTGTTAATTATATCATATCATTATAGTACAAGTTTATTATAGAAATGGAAACAGCAAGTTGGTGATGCAGATAAAGATCTCATACTACACTAACATAGTTGAAAACAATAAGACATTATCACTTTCACTTAATTGATCATCCTTCCCTTAGTGTAGTTCAGTTCTAGTTAATTGTAGTCTATATAATGTCAGTTCAACTGGTCATCATTGTGTAGTCCTTAATGTTTTGTCAGTTTTTGTTTAGACTTACTTTATGACATTACCTATTCATCTCTCAAGTTATGAAATAAAATTAATTTAAACAACTCAAATTTTTCTGAACCATTTATTTAGTGTTAGAATAGTTGCAAATGTGAAAAGGTCCAGAGTCATGGTTGTTGACAAAGCAATAATTGGTAAATATTTTGATGTACAAAGATGTCTAGAGGCTTGGCTTCTGAACCAGGAATCCTAGTGAAGACTGGGATTTTTAATTATGGGATCTTTGAGTGCCTGACATTAGTTGGGGGGAAAGTAAAGGCGGTTGGTCGTTAGCCATAGGGCACGGAGGTCTGAAAGGGGAACTTTTTTTACTTTTACAGATGTCTTAGAAAGGATTAGTGTCACTTAGCACTTAATTTAATGACTAAATTCAACTATCCACTGTAGAAAAAAGGGGTGAGAACCTTTATAACGACAGCATTGTCACAAATGGCTCAGCCATTTAAAAATAACTGGCACACTTCAATAAAACCTTTTTCTTTTTAAGAGTGCACTTGCACTATGTTCTAGACAATCACAGTATTTTCACATCTGTGAAACTCTTCAATCTGTGCAGAAGCAAGATAAAAGTTTTACTCAGCACAATATATAATTGCAATAAGAAATAGTGTCTTAGTCACTTATAAGACTATTAAAAACAATTTCTTCTTTATTCAATAACAAATTTTGTTTACACCTTGAATTTACAAATTTTTTTTTTGCATTTACTGAATTTAATGAAATAAACATAGAAAAGTTACTCAATAAAACATAACAAAAACAAATGGAATACCGGTACACTGAATTATTTTCAAATAAAATGACAATTGAACAAAAAAACAAAACCCAAACAATGTTTTATTGGGTTTAAGTTTAATATACAAACATCCAGAACTTTGCTAAATCCAACAGACTTTATTTACACTTCTCTTTGAGTGTAAAGTTACTATTTACATTACAGTTCAACCAACAACTTAAATAGTAAATACCAGTGGAAAAATAAATCACATTTGTAACAAGCAAAGGATGATTCTATTACAACAAAGTGTCTTGTTTCAAGTCCCAGGTATCACAACTATGATGATATTGTCTAAGTCGGTCAATTAGTCTTTAGACATATGCCCTTTTTAAATGACAAAAATAATTTTTCCACTAAGACTTGTCTTATGATAAACAGTTAATGAAGGGGCTAATTCTTTTCACTAATTGGGAGAATAAAAAGCCAAACCATTCATAACACATTTTCCCCCAGTGGTCCATTCTAATTGACTTCAGTACTAACTAAAAGGATGATGTGTTAACACAGGCAGAGAAATGTTAGCACAACTGTGTCTGCATGTGAGAAACAAAAAAATTAAACAATGCTTTCTAAATAGTCTCTTATTTGACTTAAACAGGCCTGTTAATGAAAGAGACTAAAATCTTGGCAAAAGACAGAGGAAAGGAGAGAGATGGTCAACAGATCATGTGTGGTGCCCCAACAATGCAACAGATTAAGAGACAAGTGATGGTGAAATAAAAAGTAATGTTAACCTACTACCTTATTGCTTGGTTTGATGTTTTCATCAGCCAAAGGTTAATGAACATAACACTGTACACATGACATTGTTACATTTCTGCATTAATCATAGTTTGGTAGTTCTAGAGCAAGTGATTGAACAAGTCTCATTATCTTGCAGATTTTCATTGGTCAGAACCAGGGTTAACATCCGCTCTTCTTAAGGTTGCCAAATATTAGGATATAAACTAAAACTAGAATCCTCAGAATTTTAATAGATAGCCTGCATCCAAAAAGCTCTAATAATTAGTGATGCATTAGCTAGATTGTTCTGTAGTGGACACAGCAAGAACTTTGCTGTCATGTGGCTTCATTTCAGTTACTATTCCTTGTTCATCTATTAATTTACTTTCAGATGTTGATGTGTTGATAGAGTTTAATTCTCGAACAGCAAAGCCTAGTCTGATTAGCTCATTGGCAATATCCACATCCTAGGGAAAACAAAACAAAAAAGTCAGTACATGCCTAAATATAACAAAATAAAACTAAAGTCAGTGCATGGTCAAAATATAACCAAATAAAACTTGAGTCAGTGCATGTCAAAATATAACCAAATAAAACTTGAGTCAGTGCATGTCAAAATACAACCAAATAAAACTTGAGTCAGTGCATGTCAAAATATAACCAAATAAAACTTGAGTCAGTGCATGTCAAAATATAACCAAAATAAAACTTGAGTCAGTGCATGGTCAAAATAATAAAAACTATTACAAAAATATGTGAGCATCTCTAGTCAGTCTTATTTTATTTTAATAATATTATCTCCTAATAGGTACAGTTATTTCATTTCTATCAAACAGTGAAATAGGACCAGAGGACTTCAATTACTACAATGGAGTAAATTGGATTAAAATAACTTTTTGTAATTTTATGGCATACTTTATCAATAAAATTTTGCTAATTAAAATACCATACATGGGCTTTTTACACTAGTATTATTTTGTTTTTAAATAAAATTGACACTTGATAGTCAAGTTATATATAGTCTAGTTTAGCCATGTTTCCTACAATTATGTCTGACTTTTCTAAATCTGCTGATTCGTTAATACTTTACTAATACGCTGTTTTTTCCACATTTACAAGAGTGATTAAGCTAATGGTTGGTAAAATTAATTTGAAATAGATTTTAACATGTAAAGATCAGATATAAAATAGTTCTGAATGTAAATTAAGGTAACCCACAAGGTACACAGTGCTAAGATTATTACTTTATGTATCATAGAATGTAGCACTGATGATCTTAAAAAAGCAATAAAAAAAAAGAAAATCTCCAGGATGTGATATCAATGTGTATGTGTTTAGAGATTTAGATATGTAGGTGCTATGACTAAATGAAGTATAAATGTAGATCTATCTATTTTTGTTATACTATTTGATCCTAGTTCTGGTTTGGTACCAATCCATTGGGCCCAGTATTATAATTATGAAATCTATAAAGGTGTCAATATAAGATTTGCAAAATATAGCTATATCTATAATTATAAGAGTTATCACAGTTTTAGTTAAATAGTTACATTTTGGTTTTAATACATATACAAAATAAAAAAAAAAACACCAACACCAGGACAAAATGGAAAGTTTGGTGAACAAATGATACAAGCTTGAGTTCAGTTACATCCTACAATAAATAGTTCTCAGGTCTATCTGAACTACATTAACACTTACATGACCCTGACTTTTGTCAATCAACTTTATTAAAGGCCTTTGTCTCCCTTTACTGTCTACATCATATTTGACCATCTCAGCTGACAGAACTTTCCATTGTGCACAGTGAGTTAGATTTTCAAAACAAGTAATTGCTTCCTCAGACCACTGACCACCTGAAACAATCAATGTACAGAAATGCCTATATTGAACAATACTAATGTACATTGTTTACTAATGTACATTGTTTAATAGACAAAAAAATGTGTATGAGTCAGTTTTATTTTTTAAAGGACAACAAATTTTATTAGCTTGGTAGTTATAAATCTATATTTAAACATTGATCAAGTAAAAATGACATAATTACCAATATTTAAAAATGATTAGATTGTGAGGCATTGTTTCATATTCTTAGTTAGACATTGCATACATGTATAACTTACACGTATTCCTTTACAAAAAGATTATTACATCCTACCCATATCCATGTATTAACCTAGCAGTACATGTGAATTAAAGACTTTAACTCTACCAAATCTTTGGATTTCTTGGCTGATTAATGGCACTAAGAAAGAGTATGAATAGGTCCAAGCATAGGGAATAAGAAATGTTCCTTTTCTAGTATAAAGTCATATCTCTGACCAACCTAAGAATTATCTTCATTAAGTACAAACATAGAATTGGATAAATAAATCAAATCTAATCTTTAAATAGTTCATATTAGAAAAAGGATTGGCTGGTGATGCTCACAAAGATTTTTTAATCATGTATTTTATATATATGGGTATGAATATTAAATTTAAAACAATTTTTACATATTTCTAGAATGTAGATATCTAAATGAGTTAAATCATACAAGTTTTTGAAATCAGAGATTTAAACAATATTTTTTTTATTATAAATTGAAAATGGCAAAACTTGCCTTTCTGATAACATTAAATGCATAAGCAGAAAACCCTTTCAGAAATTTAACTTTTTTTTATAGAATCTATAATTACTTGCAAATTAGGTTGCGAGTGAAAAAGCATGAGTCAACTTACCAACTGGTTGTACTGTGGCCAGCTTACACTCAATGGCTTGAGCAGGAAATTGGATGAAATCTGACCTGTGATCAAACATACACTCTTTAAGTAAGTGTTCAGACTGTGAACATGACTATGATTTCAAATGTGTCTAAAAGCAGTTGACTTACCTTAGTTTAAAAATGTTTTCTTTAAAGGCATAAGTGTTATCACCAAAATCAATAAAGTATAAGTCTACTTGTCCATCTGCTGTCTCTCCCAGGACTTTAGCTCTATAATAGGTCAAATCATCATCTTCAAATTGAGCAGCAACAAGGTCACCAGGTATAATTTGTGTTACACAATAATTCTAAAATAGACATTAAATATGTAATATATCATCATTGACATTCTGCAATTAAAAATGCACACAGCTTTATTTTATTGTTTTCTCACATTCATCTATTTCTTGAAAAGAAAATGGAGTGTATCATTTTTCAAAAATACTTTTTCTTCTGTATAAATTGTAGGTCTGTGTCTTGCTTTTATCAAATACTAACAAGATGGTTAGTTCTTTTTTTTTTTTTTTTTTTTTTTTTTATATACAAATTATCATTATTTTTTTAAAGTGTATATTAGTCTTATGTTTGTTTTTCTTTTCACTTAAATTCAATAATAAAAAAAAAGGCCTAGAGCTAGAGATGGCTACTTTAACAAAATAGAAGTCTATATCTTATAATAATGGAACTCTCCTGTTGCTAAGATCAACTGAAGTTAGTCAATGATATCATCAACTAGTAAGTCAATCTAGCAAGCATCTGGTAGGTCTGTGAGCATATTCTGGTTCTAGCTACAAAATGGTAGCTCAG